TCAGAGGCAGTGCGGTTGGCGCAGGATAGAGCAGGGTTTAGGGCTGTTGTGCATAGGGTCGTTGTGAGTCGCAAACAACTCGACGGCACATAACAAGAACAACATACTTTTAACTGAACATTATTTATACTTTTATTTTCACAGGTTTATCAGCTTATGAGAAAATGCTGGGAATTCCAACCATCCAATCGGACAACCTTTCAGAACCTTATTGAAGAATTTGAAGCACTTTTAAAATAAGCATGAATGGCATTTAAATTGTTTATCATGTTCCCTGTCCCTGAGGCAAATACCCAAGCCACTTAAAAAAAAAAAAAAAAATGAATGGCCAGAGTTTCTGTTGGGTCTAAAAGCTCTTTAAAAAAAAAGAAAACAACAAAAACCTGAATGTGTACAAATGTATAAATAAGGCACATGATGGTGCTTTCTTAAAGACTTTCTCTTTAAATCTGCACCAGTACATTAGTGACTCAGCAGTGATGACCAAATTATTAGAAGACAAGCAGTCCTCCTTCTGGAAGGAATATGTCACCATTTTGTGTGGATATTGGCCATTGCCCTCAATTACATGTCAAAATGGGATTTCTCAGAACAAAAAGGAGTTGACCAAAGTAATGCCTCCCAATGAGTGTTTCCCCCAGGCCCCCAGCTGCCAGTTGATCTGAAACTTTTTTGGAGGCACATAATGAAGATTGATAGTTAGCTGATATCCTTAACATGCTGTCAAATGTCATTATCTATACAGCGATAGAGCAAGTGCTCCTGAACTAGTAGATACCAGTTAGCATACTATCGTTTCTCTACGGAGTGTATTTCTGTCACCTATGTAGGACCTAAAACTTTGAATTGTTTCTCCAGTGGCTTAACTCCTGTCCCCTTGGGTGACCTGCGGTACCCATTTTTTAAGAAAATGGTTTATGCACAAGGGGACAACTGTGGAATAGATCCTTTGCTGCATGATGTTCATTCTTGAGAACTAAGCCTGTGCCAGTGCATTCTTAAGCTGTCTCCCTTTAATCAGGACTGATCCCAAGCACCTGGATGCTGTTCTACATGCTTTAATGACACTTCCACATATATCCTTTTACAACTCGACCACTTCAGGGCAAGCTGTTGTAGCACTGGTTTCAGAAAAACCATATGCAACCAGTCAGAACATGTACCACATACATTGCACTATTCTTTGAGTGTTTCCAAACTTACCTTCCATCTACAAGAGCTGATCACTCTTTTAACCATTACCCAATGATCAAGAGCTTGAAAGAAAAGGCCCAGCTGGATGCATCATGGAGGAAACAATTTTCAGGTTGCTGGGTAAGTGGTTAGTTTCTGGTTTAGTGAGAGCCATGAAAGCGCTTTATGACCAAGAGTTTGAAAGACTTTTTGTTAATGCTGTCTAGCATTTGTTTAGTATTCTTAATTTTCATTTTTTTCAGCCTGGTAAAAATTCAGAATTGATTCAATGGCAACAGTAAACTTGCCATTTAAAACTCATTTGATAACTCTCCATCACCAAGGTCTCTGTTCATGTCAAACCTGTGGCCACTCTATATGCACTTTGTTTACTCTTTATACAAATAAATATACTAAAGACTTTACATGCATATGCCTTTTAATATTGAGATTCCATTTCCAAAGCATTTCAAACAACTGGTTTACATAGAAAAATAACAGTGTAGGATTTGGGGATTTTGGTAATGGTCCTTATTACTAACACCACTTGATTTGCACTTTTGTTAACATCCAATGATAACGAGGCACAGGCAGTGGGAATGGCCGGTTCACACGGGCTGTAATGCAAACGTCCTTCATGTCAGTCCTTCAGCCTCCTGTTCTCGTTTCAGAGTCTGGTTCAAAGCCCACCATCTTCCCTTCTCCTCCCCTTTTCCATACAGTAGAGGTCTGAGTAAGCACTGAAGAGGCCAACTGCAGCAGGGAAGTGGGAAGGAGGCACAGGGCACGAGAATCTATTCATCTGAGTTCACGGAGTGGTGGTGGATTGTGGTCCGTTACTTCTAGGTAGTATACTGCTTAGAAAATGAGGTTTGTTTTCTAGGTGTCATTTTCTAACAGAAGTCAGTATATACAATAAATTAGACGAAGTAAAATACAAAGCATATAATATTATATATCAACTTTAGACTTCATAATTGGAATAGGATAGATGCTTTTTTATCATAGGTGAAACAGCAAAGTCCCCCAAATGACAAAATTTGTGATACTCTGATTTCAAAAAGACTACGATCATTGAGACCTCAAGCTCTGCACCATCAATTATAGTCTCCTAACAATAAACCAACTTGGAAATTTCTAGATGGTCTCTCATGAATGTAATAACAAGGTCATTAGAAAATGGTGATGTCAAAAATAATATGCAATAAAGGCAAACAATTCTTTCAGATATTAACTGGGTTAAAGAGTTGACAATTTCTCAGCCTAACTACAAAATCATGAGATAAAAGCACAGAGTGAGGTATAGCTTTTTAGCTCAAAATTATTATTAACACTTGCTACATAAGACTCAGGGAAGAACTGACCGCATTACCTTATTGTGGAAAAAGAGCATCTGGTGATCAAATCAGACCTTGTTCTAGTGCCTAGGTCCTTGTTAGTTTATGCTGTGAAATGAGGCACAGAAACCTGCAATTCTTGCCACTTAAAAGTCTGCTACAACGGTTAAGAGTTTATTTCCAAATGAAATAGAAGAAATATAGTGCTGTTAGATGGGGGGGGGGGG